AAAATATCAAGACATCAGTTTCTGTGTTTGTTAGACCAAAAGCCCATTTCATGATTTATGATTTCATTAAAAAAAAAATCTTCTTGCTTCAGAAAGAGCAGAAAGTTTCTCACTTATGATCTTTCAATTTCCATATAATTTCCAAAGAACACTCAAATTAAAATATATGGTCATTATTACTTTTTTTCCAGTTAGTGTTGTAATGGGTCATGATTTGGTCTGGGTTCAATGAAAGGAACTTCTAATGGAGAGTGGCACCGTACTAATTTTGAAATCATGAGGATGATAATGAAATCATTCACCACATTTACGTGGTTAGGACATGAAACTTTTCAATTAACTATCTTGAACTCTACACAAATTAGGTGTGTGTGTGTCTCTGTCTGTCTGTCTGTCTGTCTGTTTGTTTGTGTGTCTCTATCTGTGTGTTTGTGTCCCTCTGTCTGTATGTCTGTGTGTGTGTCTCTCCGTCTGTCTGTATGTCTTTCTGTCTCTCTGTCTGTCTGTATGTCTTTCTGTGTCTCTCTGTCTGTCTGTATGTCTTTCTGTATGTCTGTGTGTGTCTCTCTGTCTATCTGTCTGTCTGTGTGTGTCTCTCTGTCTGTCTGTCTTTGTCTCTGGCTGTGCACATGCACGTTTCAATTTAACCTGTCTGTAATGTGAAAATGTATACTGAAATCTTCAGCTGTAACCACTTTCCCTTTTAAACATCACTACTCCCACTTACTAATTTGTGTATTTTTTTCCTTTTTATAAAAAAACATGAGGCAAAATAAATTATCTTTCCAGTATAACAAAAAGGTAACTTATTGCAAGTGATTTCCTACCCCAGGAAAGAGACTTATATTATCCTAATGAACTTTACCGGGCCCATTGAATTACGTTTCTTTCACTAAACCAACTCTTGATTTTGCTTGTACTCTCTCTGGTACTTCTGTTAGAAGTTTAAATGATGGAAAAATAGCTTCTGCAAACAAGTCTTATGGCTGTGTCATGCATTTTGCACAGATCTTTTTTAATGTTTTTCTTTTCTCTTTTTTCTTCTATAAACGTCATTTACACTGGAACTAGATGGGAAAAGGAATGTCTATCTAATAAATTGGAATGTACACTGAAAAATATCTTATATATTTATATAACTTTTTAAAAATATGAGCAATGCCTAAAAATCCATAAAAAGATGACATAAGAAACACGGAATGCACATTCATATATAAGTTGTGTTTAAACAATTTTGTTATTTTGATAAGCATGACAAAAACCTTATATGAATTGAAAAAATATATGATATTGATTATTTTCCTTATCTACTTTCATATTTTACAGTTTAACTCTTAAACTTACAATGCAGTATTATTCACTGCTAATCTTATTAAACCCCATTTTACTCACAAAGGACAATTCAACCCATTAAAAAGAATAACTCAACAATGATAAAGATGCAAATATTTGCTGGAATGCTCTACCTGTTACGAATGTATCCATGGAAAGCAAAGTTAATACAATATATATATATATCTACACACACATAACATGATGTGGAGTATCTACATCAATGTCTTATGAATGAAAATCTGCACAGATGATGTTACATATCATAGGTGGTGTCACAGTGCCACTTATATACTTGGTTTTTCCATGTCAGAGGAAACTGAAGAAATTGTGCTTAAGAAACAGAGGTTGAAGACCATTTAGAATACAGAACCCAAACTATGTGCAGCTGATAAAAATGGAATATTGATATCATTAACCCCTTATACATATAACATATATATGTAGGATCTGTTACAATATCAAGTGCACTAGGTATTAAGGCATACTTATATCAAGTACACACACTTTCACGACTCCCCTTCACAAAATAAAGACTATTCTTGATAATAATTTTACAAGTGTTTAAAGACATTACATACGCACATTCCAGATTCAGTCCAAAATTCAGCGAGCATATAACGCCTGGAAACCAAGTCACAAAACTGGCAGTGCGACACCTTTCCCGGAACCAAATGTTTTCCAAGCACTTCTGTCATAGCATGAGGAACTAAGGTTTCACTTAATTAAATGAATGCACTCTAATACATACTCAAATTTTGGGTGGCTGGCATATCTGACTGTACATTGGTCCACAAAACTTAAGCACATATTTATCACATGGGTCAACAATCACAGACATAGGCTGCAGTCATCCTAATTCTTTCATTTAAGTAAAAGTCATAACTTTCCTTGGCTGAATTTGCATAAAAAGGAAAAATGCTAGAAGCAGAAATAGGAAAAGAATTACTTGGATTTCTAATTATACAACATAATGCAAAATGGAAAAGATGAAGGAAAAAAAAGGAAACAAAGGGACGGAAATTCTTGTTAAAGCACTGCCAGAGCATTAGGAAGTCAAAATGTTTTTGCAGATTCCTAAGGACCATCTTTTGCCTTGAAAATTATGCTATAAAGAGGTATTCATTTTGATTTTTCTTTAATCATGTCCCTGTATCCCACGAAATACAAGGCTTTTTTAATCAGTACAAAACAGTGGACTTCTTTACATAAATGCAGTCTCATTTACAACCAGATTGCTTTGACATTCTCAAACACCTAACATCAGTATTAGGACATGTAAGTTATTTTCAAATAAAAAAAATAAATAAAAAATAGAAAGATGAAATCATGTAAAAAAAAACCTAGCAAACTACTGAATGCAGCCTTTGAAATAAATACACACAACATAACAGGAACAGGAACTCAAACTTGGCATACGTACCCAAAGCAGCAAGTGTTTCTACACGAACCTTTTGCAAAACACAAAAAACATTACCAGAAGTCATTTCAACACATCATTCTCAATACTGAAGGCAATCATAATACATTATTTAGACTTGAAAAGGCTGAATATCCTTTGGTAACTGACTGCACAGCTTGTCAGCAATTGAAGAAAAAGACAAACTTCAAATTACTGATATTGATATTTAGAAAACTCTTGAGAGTATTTCATGCTTAAAACTCAAGTCTTCCAACTCTAACAAAATAACAGAATAAGTCAGAATTAAAACTGGGAAAAAAAAATTCCAGTTAAAAAAAAAATGTCTCAGTATAAAGACACAAGTACTCTGCTTTCACTCCCAAACCAAGTTGTTCTAACTAGAATCTCTCAGTCAAGAGTGGAAGTTGTCTATGAAGCAGACCAGTTGACAGAGATTACACTGCAACACATGTAGCTGTAAGCATCAAGTAATAGAGCAATAATATAGTGAAAATAAACATTCCGCACTAGCATTAGCTTGTACAATAAAGAGTTTCAGCATTTTGCCTACAGATTCATGAGACTAAGTGCTAACGGTTGGCAATGTGGAGGTGGGTGGGAGGTTGTCTGCACAAAGGCTAGCTAATTCCTAGACTGTCAATATTCAGCCTTGGTTAAAGTAAAAGAAAAAGAAAAGGAAAGAACTATAGAAGGGAAAAAAAGAAAGAGAAACTAAAAAAGGAAAACCCATAAAACAATCTAACTGCTCTATTTGCAGTATTGTTTTCAAATTAAAATGCATACCTAGTATAATGAGGTTCACAAACATGACGGTTTCCCATAAATATTCCTGGATGAATACATGCACATGTTAATACTATAACTTGACTGTGCCAGGAGGTAGACTAGCATTGCAGGTTCGGTAGTAACGTAGGTCATTGATAAATCGCTGGACATTCTGGGTAAATGTTGGCAAATCCTGGTAAAAACACAAGTTGCATTAGTGATCACTTCCTATATCTATGAGATTTATAACTGTTATTATCAAAGCCTCATCTGAGTCCACTTGACTATGAGTAGCACATGTTCAGCCGATAAAGAAATATTGAACACGCATTAAAAAATAAATAAATAAATAAATAAATAAGAGTACTTACTGTATCAGTTTTGAAGTTCTCTTTGAGAGTTGTTCTTTGGTCATTATCTAGCCCATCCATGTTTTGAAGAAAGTGGACAACAAAGGCTGAGAAAAAGGTGTTGAAATCTACAGAGGCCATGTTGTACACTGTGATAGTTATCTGTGGAATATGAAAAAATGTGTATTTGTTGTATTAAAGTGATATTCCTCGACTGGTTCCTCTATTCTACTCTCTTTGTGAAAAAAGAAATCTGCTCAGTTACATCCTTCACCATGCATCTGAGCCAGATTTTTTAATCAAAACCAATATTTTACTTTTTCATGCTTCTGCTCAGCCTGCCTTACAGGAATAATTATGTAATTATTGCTCTGAATTCACACACAGTACAATCATACAAAACAATGGAAAAAAATATAGTGTAGCTTCAACACACACTAAATGCATTACATATCTTCTACAACATACGCAAAGCCAGGAAGTCGAACCTACCTCCTCCTGAAGCAGGTCCTGAGACCTATGCACCAGCACCTGCAGCAGCACGGTGATAAACTGGCCTAACATGGAGTTTCGGAAAACACCCTGGCAAGACAGATTTGGTGTTTCAGATTGCA